GGAGTCAATCTGTATAGAGGAGAGAGCGCCCCCTTTGGACTGGATGGCCGTGATGGTCTTGGCGTTCTGGACGACCTCGATGACCCCCACGTCTTTGCCCGTGGACAGACAGCCGTAAGGAATCATCCTGAGCAGCAGCAACAACAACAACAAGCATCGAAGTTTAGTTTTAAGTATGAGTTTTCAGGCACTTGCAACACAAATAGGTCATTCATACGGGAGCTGACAATCAGAGGTGTCACTAGAGTTTTGTTTTGATTTAGTAAAGGTTTTACGGCACTTGCAACACAATGAGGTCATATAAGTGCCGAAGATTAGAGGTGTTACAAGAGAGTAACATACATAAAACAGAAGGAGGAGAAATCAGGACGATAGATTTTTTAATTATTTTTTTTGGTAGAGGTTTTACGGCACTCGCAACTGCATAAGGTCATATGAGCGCCAGAAGATTAGGTGTTACAAGAGAGTAACAAACATAAAAAAGGACGGGAGATAAGGACGACAGATGTTTTGATTGGAAAGAAGAAGCAAACCGCACCAGAACACCCACCAACCACCCACTCACTAGAGTTTAACGGCATTTGCAACACAAATAAGGTTATTTAAGTGGCAACGATTTGAGGTGCTACTTGAGTTTTACAGTATTTGCAGCACAAATAAGTCATACAACTGCCAACGATAAGAGGTGTTACTACACATTTAGTTAAGAGTTTAATGGCACACGCAACACAAATAAGGCCATATAAGTGCCAACTATTAGAGGAGTTACTAAAGATTTAGCAAGAGTCTTATAGCACTTAAAAGACAAAAAAAGCAATGTGAGTGCAGATAAATTGTTAAAATAAAATCACTCAAAGGAGTTGACAAAACAAGGGAAATGCTGAAAACTCCTCCACGGCGCAACCACATTCTTCAGTTACTAAGAAATTAAAGCGGAAAGGGACCATTCCAAAACTGGTTTCATAACCATTACCATCTATCTATATCAATTACTTTGTACATTAAGGGACTACTTAAAAAGGGCCAAGGTTTCTTCTTTTTTTAAAATTTCTTTTTCTTTTTTTTTGGTTCTTTCGCTTTCTGTTATTATTATTAACCCCCCCCCCAAATGTTACAAGTTAAAGAGTTAAAGTGAATTGCTCGCAAAACTGAAAGAAATAATATGAGGAATAAAATACAAATGAAAAAGGTCCTGCTTACTTCAAATCAAGACCCTCGTCTTTCCATATAGTGTCCATGAGCCGAATAACTTGCAGGGTGAGCATGTCTTGACGCAAGTCTGCGATAAAAGCACAAATAATCATGAGTTACACCTTTGTTTTGGTATGGTTTCAGTCAAAAAGAGTTTTAAGGCACTTGCAACACAAGCAGGTCATATAAATGCCAAAAATTAGAGTAGAGGTGTTACGAGAAGAGAGTAACATACAAATAAAA